TTTCTCCTCCTCCCCTCGCCCCCCAGTGGACCCCAGAGATGGCCCGAAGAGGCCCTCCAAGGCCCCCACTTGCTCACAGAGATCTCTCTGTCCATCCTGGTTGCACGCTTTGTTTCACTATATGTGTCTCTCGGGTCGGATTTTCTGAACGGGCTGGTGGGGATACGCAAAGTTTGAACAATTTTCTCCTCGATCCACAATGGGGAGGGTTGCGCTCAGCAGTCTCTTGTTCTCTGGCAGCTCAACCCATCGGTGGAACTGGCAAGATATACAAGTGCTGCTTAATACATCTAACAAGCCATCCAACCCAACGCACGGGCTCATCATTTGGATGAAGGGCTCGTGGATCTGGGCGTGGTGCCCAAATGGCAAAATTGACGCTGCGAGCTGCAGCATCGCATGATCTTGCGAGGTGACGATACCTGGAGCATAAGAGGCCTCTCAGTCCACCCACTTAGTCAAGTAGTTGCTCGCCTTCAGTGCCGCAGAGACCTGCGCCGAATCCATCGAGGCGTACTTCTTGACGTCCTTGGCGTTCTCCCACTCGAAATCCGCCACCGTGCCTCTGGCACGAAGTGGAGTCCTCAAGGCTCACAGCTGCGCTGCTGCTGCAGCCAGGATGATAATTTCTTAGAGCCCCAGACCACCAAATTCCCAGGCGCTTTTGGCGCTCCCAGGGTGTCCCGCATGACCTCCGGCTGCAACGCCCCAAACGACCCGCACACTTTCGCGGAGCTCCCCACCGAGCGCCCAAGACGGTCAAGGAGCAACTCTAGACGGCCCAAGATGGCCCCCAGACGGCCCAAGAGGCCTCCAAGACGCCCAAGATCGGGCGTTGGTAGAACTGGGTTTAATGGAACCTGGTTTAATGTTCTGTACCGGGGGCGCCCCCCCGTCCCATTTCCACTATCCGGAACTGCCGTCACCCGAAAAAACACCAGCTATGGCAAACATGGTTTGGTGATTCTGGCCAATTTGAAGGCTCCGGGGCCCTACCACTAACCAGGTCCCCTTACCCGGAGTCCTGGCCATACCCGACAAGAGGCCTTCAAGAGGCCTCGCAAGAGGGCCCCAAGAGGCACAAATCATAGCTTTTCCAATGGCGTTCGAAGCTTTTTTGGGGTACTCGCGTTTTCGGCTTCCCGACGCTCCAAGACTGCCCAAGAGGCCACAAGATCGCCCAAAGACTGCCCAAGACGGCCCCAAGACGCTCGAAAATGCCTCCAAAACGGCCCAAGGGGCTCCCAAAACGGCTCCCACAGGAAGCCCAGACAGGGGCCCTCATCGGACATTTCGAGCCCGCGGCCCCAAGAAGCCCCCAGGAGGCCACAAGAGGCCCCCAAGAGGCCTCCAAGAGGCCTCCCAACAGGGCCCCAAGAGGCAAACATCCCAACGAACGACCTAGAGGCCTGACCCACCACCGAGGCACTGTGGCGGGATAGTCCGAAAGCCATTAGATACTTCTTGCCATCCTTGGTGTACGGCTCGCGGCCGAAGTGGCAGTAGGCCGCCGTCTCCTGGTACTTGGGCTCGCGAAGGGCCAGCGTAACCGCGATGGCGCCAGGGCGGCAGTCGAACTCAATCTTGAGCACGTTCGTGATGTCCTCGGCCGACAGCTTGCCCTGCTCGGTGCCATAAGTCTCGAGGAATAGCGACAGAGGTTTCGCGACACCGATGGCGTAGGACAGCTGCACCAGTGCGCGCTTGCACAGGCCGCTCTTCACCACGGACTTGGCCATCTGCCGGCAGATGTACGCCGCCGAGCGGTCCACCTTGGTCGGGTCCTTGCCAGAGAAGGCGCCGCCACCGTGGGCTCCCCAGCCCCCGTAGGTGTCGATGATGATCTTGCGACCGGTGAGGCCTGCATCGCCCTGGGGACCCCCGATGATGAACTTGCCCGACGGGTTAATGTGCAGGTGGGTGTGGTCTCCGAAAAGGGTGAGCGCCGGCTTACCACTCTTGAGCTTGATCTCTGAGAGGGTGCTCTTGATCACTTTCTCGACGATCTCCTTGTTCATGGCGTCCATGCTGGGAGCAGTCATCTCTGCGCCCTTGTAGCCAGCGCACTCCTTCGTGCGCGTGGCCTTTAAGGGCTCAGCATGCTGGGTAGAAATCACAATGGTGTGGAACTTTTGGGGCTCCACGGAACCGTCGGCCTTCTGCACATACTCGATGGTTACCTGCGTCTTGCCATCCGGGCGCAGCCACCAGAGCGAGCCGTCCTTGCGCACATCCGTCAGCTTTTTTCCAAGCTTGGTCGCGACCGAGTGGGTGAGCGGCATACAGTCCTCGGTCTCGTCAGTGGCGTAGCCGAACATGATGCCCTGGTCGCCTGCGCCGACGTCCATATCGTCCTTGCCGACATGCACGCCGCCCGCGATGTCGGGGCTCTGCTTGTTGATGCGCACCAGGACCTCGCACGTGGTGTCGCTGAGACCCTTGCTGTCCACGCTGGAGAGGTCATCCACGTAGGTGTCGAAACCAATTTTCTTTACCACCCCGCGGACAACCTTCTCGTAATCGATCGCTGTCTGGGTCGTGATCTCACCCGCGACCATGACCATGTTGTCCTTGGTGGCGGTCTCGCACGCGACCTTGCTCTTGGGATCGCCCTCCAAGCAGCAGTCCAGCACGGCATCGGAGACCTGATCGCATAACTTGTCTGGGTGGCCTTCATTCACGGATTCCGACGAGAACAGGAAAACACGCTCGGTCTTGGCCCTCTTGGTTGCAGGCTCGGTCATGGCTGCTGAGGTTTTCTCGCGTCCTTGAAGAAGCGGTCGTGGGCGAGCGTCTCGCCTCAAGCGCAAACTTGATCCGAAACTACGGACAGTGCAACCTCTTCCACCTCCTGCTCCTCATCCCCCTCCTCCTCCTCCTCCTCCTCCTCCTCCTCCATCTCCTCCATCTCCTCCCTCTCCTCCTCCATCTCTACCTCTTCCTCCTCCTCCTCCTCATCCTCCTCATCATCATCATCAGCATCATCATCAGCATCATCATCTTCCTCATCCTCCTCCTCCTCGTCATCTTCCTCATCCTCCTCCTCCTTACCTTCCTCCTCCTCCTCCTCATTCTCGTCCTCTTCCTCCTCCTCATTCTCCTCCTCCTCCTTCCCGTCATTATGAGCAGCAGCAACATCGAGAAATCCTTACTCCTTATTTGAATATACTCCAATTCTGCCACCTAGCTGACCGGTAGCAACCCCATCCAGGTGGTCCCAGCTACCTGTTAAGAACAATTGAATACCAATGTCTTTCGTAGAAACGTGGGCACCAAGTCGCCCATGCAGCAAAATGCGTGGCAGAATGGGGGCACGGCACACATCCCGCGAGACAGGCCGAAATCTCGCTCTGGCCTCAGCGCCGCTCCCATCTGTCTAGAGACATGAGAACCCGCCTGGGCGCGTGGCACACGGTCCGCATGCAACGTCGTCGACGCGCGAGCGAACGCGAAGACTTCGCATGAAAGTGTCGCTCCCGCCTCGACACGGCGCAAGGCGTTCACTCGCCGGGTTGGACGGGCCCGCGCGAATGGGCGACTCCTCGCCCTCGCCCACGCTCCGTGCGCACTTCGCTCGGAAGTGGTGTCCCACGCGGGCGCGGCGCACGTTTTCGTTCGCCGAAGCGCACGCAACACCCACAGCGGCAGCGGCGCCGCGCGAGAGCGGGCGAAATGCCGACCTCACCCGACCGCCGCGACGCTTAGGAGTGAAAGTGGCAGTGCTGTATCGGCGCGGCGCGCGCTTCGCCTTCGCCGCGCCCGTCGGCAGTGTTGCCGCTCCCGCCGCTGCGCCGCCCGCGAAGTTGTCCCTTGCCAAGTCGTCGGGAGCGCGGCCACGCGCAGGCGCTTTTCGTTTGCGAGGCGGGAACGCATCCCAATCCCAACATCAAGTTGGGCCACACTTGATCCTTATTGTGTGGCAGGGAGGGTGGGACTGGGCGGGGCCCGCTGGCGCACTCGACCTGGCTGACTTGACTATCCTCTTGCTCATCTTCCTCTTGGCCCTTGGCCCTCCTCCTCCTCCTGCTCCTGCTCCCCCTCCTCCCCACAATCCTCCTCCGTCTCATCCTCCTCCTCATCATCATCACCATCATCATCATCATCATCATCATCATCATCATCATCAGCATCATCATCAGCCTTAGCATCATCAGCATCATCAGCATCATCATCATCATCATCATCATCATCATCATCCTCATCATCATCGTCATCATCATCATCGTCATCATCACCATAATCATCGTTAGCATCAGCATCATCATCAGCATCAGCATCATCATCATCATCATCATCATCAGCATCATCAGCCTTAGCATCATCAGCATCATCAGCATCGTCATCATCGTCATCATCACCATAATCAGCGTTAGCATCAGCATCATCATCAGCATCAGCATCAGCATCAGCATAAGCATCATCATCAACAGCATCATGAGCACCATCATCATCATCATCATCATCATCAACATCATCATAACCAGCAGCATCAGCATCAGCATCAGCATCATCATCAGCAGCAGCAGCATCATCAGCACCATCATCATCAGCACAATCATAAGCAGCATCAGCATCATCATCATCAGCAGCATCATCAGCATCATCAGCAGCATCAGCATCATCAACATCAACATCAGATCCATCATCATCATTATCAGTGTCATCATCAGTAGAATCATCAGCAGCAGCATGATCATCATCAGCATGATCAACATCAGCAGCAGCAGCAGCAGCAGCAATCATCATGATGGCGTACACGCGTCATCATGTGGATTTGTGTCGTAAAACCTGCTCCACAGTAGGCGAAACGGAAACAGAACAGAGCCCGCATCGCACCATCCAGCAACATGGCCCCTGCGGTGAACGACGACACGGGCGAGTCCAGAAAAATGCAACGCGTTGCGAATTGGCCGCGCTAGTCCGTCCCCATCCCTTATCCGCCTTCGCCTCATACCTTCTACCCCCCCATAAGTCCTCAGCATCATCCTCCTGATGCGTACCCGCAGGCTGGCACGATGAGGTCGACAAGGAGGGTGTTGATCCCACTCCACACACCCTCGACATCGTTCTCGGTGGATCGCCACTTCCTGGAGAAACAGCGGGAGTAGCACGAACAAACGGGGGGAAAGAATAAATGGAGGAGAGGGCAAAAGGATCAGGCGGAGGAGAACGAGGAGACAGGAAGGGAAAGTTCGGGAATGAGCAGGAAGACGGGAGAAGGAGGACAAGGACGACGCGGAAGTGCTTAAACCCCACCTCTTGTGGGACGGGCAAGACAACCACCACCAGCAGTAGCAAAAAAGGAAAAGCACCAGGGGAAGACAACGACGACATCTGGTTTTGATGGTTCCCGGCGTCTTGGTCAGCAGCAGCTCGCCAACAAACCACAGTGTGTAGAAGGCGGCGAGCAGCGTCGTGACCACCTCCCAGCTGGCCGCACGGAAAACCGCAACGACCCAGACCCCCACCAAATCTCAGGCGGGCCTAGAATCGAAACGAAAAGTCGGATCGGCGATCGAACCGAATCGGATCGGCAAAAAACGACAGCCGAGCCGGGAGAAGTCGAATCGGCGGGGCATTCGGCAGGCTAGTAATGCGTCCGTCGAAAAAACGGAACCCATCTAGATCGGAATCCCAAATCGAATCGAATCGAATCGGCATCGGACCCATCGAAACCGAATTTCATCGAATCTGAGGAATCGGCACGAGCTCTGAGATATTCGACGGTGCTACGCTTTCGATCCGGACGCCGCTCCTCGATATCAGCCCGCGGGGGTCTTTGCTTGAGGCCCCCCAGATAGGTTCGTAGTAGATAAGGTCGAAGGACCTCGCCGTTTCGGCGATGCATCGGCGATGCCTCGCCGATGCATGGGCGACGTCGGCGAAGCAGCGGCGACGTCCGCGCGGAGAAAAGCAGGCTCCACGAGCCTCGGGAAGCCCCGGGGGGCCGAAATTTGGTTCCTCCAACCATCGTCGCCCTCGTCCGCGCACAAGTCCGCGCGAAAACCCTGCAGTTTTTTCACGAAAAAGCGATAGCACTTGAGGCAAACAGATGCGGCCAACGACTAACATGCAACACTGGAATTCCTAAACAATGTTTCTACATGGCCCCTGACAGAGCATGCTCACCCAGCCGACACGCTATAACCTAACACCGCCCTCGGCTGATAAGCCAAGTGTGAAAGCGGGCGGTCTATAACTATAATACAGCTATATACACAGGAAAGGCGGGGGAAAAAAAAAAAACAGCAATCAGCACAAGAGTGAACAGTTAAAGGCCAAGTCTTCAACCCAGGAAGACAAGCAAAATGCAAGATCCAAGAATTGCGCACCTGACACGGGCAATGACGACTACGATTTGGGCGTAGTCGCGCAGGGGCCTCTTACCACGCGATACACGATTATGAAAACGTCGCAAAGAGCAGAATTATGCATCATGATTAAAAATATGTATTGCGCGCGCGAATGTTGGCGAGCACCTGGATCTCAGATGGCCCCGAGATCAAGTCACCCGCAGAGAGGCAAACGACAGTACCACAACTACACATAGCTATATCAAGCGAATGCTACGTAGCAGGTGCCAGCTCGTGTCTTCCGCTAGCGGTATGTCGAGTGGTACGTCGCACGCGCATGGAAGTGTCATCCTGGCTCACACATCTGCGTTGGAGTATCTGCAAGGTCTTCATGAATCCTACTCTGATCACCCTGATGTCTGCTGTTTGTACCTTCTCCTGTAACCAGATCTGACAGAGCTCGATGTGTCTGAATTTCCCTAGCCCTCGCCAGCTCGCAATAACAATGGCCACCCCAGATCCCTCTTGCACGAGATGCCACAATCAACGTTAAAAGCTGCTTATAGTCTTTACGCTACTGACCCACCCGTCACCATTCCCCGATACCCTGCTTCTCTGGGAGACAATGCCACGACGCTCAGGGTCGAACTCCACGACTGAATCAAGTGCGACCCCCACAGAACTGCCCATCCACTTGTCTACTAGAACTTTCTTTTGCGCCCTGCATAATCGGCGTCTGTCCAAGCGGCTCACCCCACAGGTCGCTATCGATATGAATGCTGATGGCCACACCGGTCGCGGACCTCGAAGCACTCGCCAGGGCTTGCGAGACTTGCCCACGCCCCCCGGACCGGATCTGACATGGAGCGCGAAAGCTCCTTGACACAGAACTGCACGTCCGAACGGCCCTGGGTGAGAAAGCTTGCCCGGGCCACCAGTGCTCGGGATTTCTTAACTTCACAACTTGCCAGGAGCTCCTCGCCCTCGTCGCAAGTTCGCGGCTCGCCTGGCATCTCATATCTAACCTTGCTCTTCTCCAAGCCCAATTACTAAACGAATATCTCTGCGCGCCTTTGATCCGCCTCCTACCATGGGCCATATCCGCGCCAATCCACCATTCGGCTGCGGACCCTGCTCGACTTCAGATTTGTTGGCCCTTGCCCTAGTCCGCCTCGGATTTTCACATCGAGCCCCTCGGACCAGTCAAGGCCAACTCCATGAATCATCGAATTACAATGTTCCCCATACACTGATCGCAAGATTCGTCTTGCTCCACGTCTTAAACCCGCACGGTGGCGCTTTCCCATTGTCAAGACCGATGCCACGTGCGGAATCTACGCAGCAGCCCCCCCGATTGCTGGCAACACCTCGGGCTAACGCACATCGACCTCAGCAATATTCCAAGCGCGCCTGGTTCACGACCTTTTCTGGCAATTTCAGGAAGATGTTTGCTTGGCCTCGGCGTAGAAGTACGCCTGCTGAAAATCACTAAACCCATGCTTGGGCCCTCTCTTACGCCCCCCTCGGTTATACCCCAACCCCCCAAGAGCAACAATCTCTTCGCTTCCATGAGAGAGGCGGCGGCGAATATGCTTTTTCGGCACTTTACCTGCCGCGCGACAAGCCAGACTCGGCACTCGGGACTGGCCTCGCCCCCTTCGCCGAGATCAACGCACCTCCTGCCAGCGGGGGCCATGCCGGTAAGCGCCCAGCATTCCTCCGCCTCGCGAGCCCTGAACTGATCCATCTCCTCCTAACGAGACTGCAACGTGAGTTCCGGGTCAAACTCACTTCCGGACACATCATCCCACGCCTGTACTTCTCCATGCTCGCGATGCACTACACATGCGTCACTTCTGGTAGCTGACTGCACCCTAGCAGCACTCCCGCATGACTCGTACGCCACTGAAACTTCCACCCTAGGTGTCGGCACTCGCCACGCGTGCAGCAGTGAGGCTAGACGCCCGCGGTAACTCGGCGAGCGACTTGCATGGCGATGTTGCACGCTCCCCCTCTGAGTTCTCCCCTCCGCCCCCTTCCTTTACTTTCGCTAACCCCCCTGTCCTCGACCCCTGGCTGGCGCCCGAACACTGAATAACCCTGCGCAGGCATGAACTCCACGTTGGCCCTGAACTTCCCAGAAGCCCGAGGCGAGACGCGATGGGCCCCCCTCGGCCCAGGGAAACACGGGCCACCCCCGCGCCCTCGTTTCGCGCCCGACCCCATGAATCTCCATTTCTTCGCGCGATTCCCAATTCACCTCTGGACCGCAGGTTCTGAACGAGCACCCCAATCAGTCACGAGCTGTCGCCTGGACAACTAGACCTTCAAATAAAGCCCAGCAGAGCCCGCGCGGATACACCTCCGATCTTCTCGCTTGACTGGATCTGTCTCCGCAGGCCCTGACACGCCGCGCTGAGGGCCCTGACGGCGCGGGGGCGACCAGTCATGAGCCGCGTGGGATTCCCCGCAAGCACATCCTCGCCTACTACCACCTGCTAAGTCAAAGCAGGACATCGCTATCATGTGTTCACACGGCTCAGCGCTTCAACATTCTCCGCACTGGCGACGCGGCCCAGCTCGAGGCCCCCCCAGGCCCCCGGGGTGTTCAAAAAGAATGCACAGCGCGCTGCTTCTCTGAATCTCACGTAGTTCAAACGAAAGCCCAAGCCGTTGAAGCCCCCAGTCTAAAAGTCCCATCATCTCTGTCCCTGCCCCAAACGACGAGTTCAACGCCTGCCGCTTGCTGAGAGCTGCACACATGGAACTTACAATTCACATTAAGGCCGCTTTGCTCTTGATGCATTATTCGCTTTCGCTCGCATCGCCTCGCAGTAAGAACTCACGTAGGCTTACCATATTGATCGCGCGTGGCTTGATCCATAGCCAGCCATGGTATAAGTCTCCAAGTATCCGCCATGCCGGTAAACAGCGCTGGCCAGTAGGCATCAGAAACGCGAGACTGCTCATCGCGATGGCCGTTGCCGCGCAACCTCACTGCCGCTCTGATTTGTTAGACCTGTTCGATGACATCCAAATCGGCATTGAAAAAACACTCCACAATTTCAGTGACGGACCCCAAAACATAACACGGTGCGTTCTTCATTCGTGCTCACAGTACCCTGTTATATGCCGGCATGCTCGGGCCTATACTGACTCGTGTTATCGTCGCCTGGCCCCTTACCAAGCTCGATCAGCATCTCCTCATCCTTACATCCTTCCCCTCTAACTTCTCCTGCCCTCTCGCCATCCGCGGGCCCCATCCACCTTTCCCCTTCCTCACCGCCGCTGACCTCGGCGGAATAACGCCAGCAGGTCGCGCGCCGCCATCACCGCCAGAGATAGCGCGGGACAAAATCCACTCAGTCCAAGGCCCCCGCAGCACCCCCCACCTTCGTCGCCCCAATCACCGGTCGCGCCCCCCTCTCACCTGCGCACCGATAATTTGCACGCGTTCGTTTCTCAATGCCCATCCTGTCGGGAGTTCTCATTCCCATGCCTCCAGGCACGTGCATGCGTTTACGTCTTCACGGCGTCGCGGAATGGCTAACCCGTCTAAAGTACCCCGCTGTCTATCCACGTGGACCCCCTGTTCTTGTTCGGCGCGGCGCTGTCGGGCCCCGCCGCCCCTTCGGCCGCCGCTAGCCTTTCATGGATGTTCGGGCCATCTTGTCCTGTGAGCCGCTCGATAACTCTCTCGCAACATTCTGGGCCACGCGGCCCGCGCGCGGCATCTCCCCGAACGGAGGCCCTGCAACCGGAACATCCAAGCGTCGGCCCCATAAGCATGCACCCCGACCGCTGCACAGCAATCCGCAAAGCCACCAATAACGGCTCGGCGTCAAAAGCCAAGTCTTTGCGAGGCGCCGCCATGGGCAATCTCGCCCAGGCTTCACCGCCCACCCCAAGTGCGACGGGGCCCGGTTGCCCGGGCAACCCTTTCACACCGGCGATAATTACCTTTAGATCCCATCTCCCCCGCGCGCCGCGCGCGCCTCGACTCGCGGGACCTGGGCGGCCCCGCCCCGAGCGCCGACGATTGACTCCCGGCTTGCTCCGCGAACTCTCAAGAATATTCCACCCCCCCATCTGGCGCCGAGGTCGATGCTCCCCTCTGTGGGGAGGGTCGCCAGATGCACGACGCATTCCCGGCAATGCCTCGTCGACTTCGCGCCCTCGCCACCTCCCACCGGCAATTTCCTCGCCGGGCCAACGGCGCGAACTTGTCGGCGAGGGGAGACGCGCAGGCAACCGACCAAGTTACAAGAGCACGCTCTCCCCCGAACTCAACTTTGCACGCGTCGCCCAATGTTCTCTCCAACGTCATGAATTGACCCTGTCATGGCTCTCATCGCACAATCGACTTCGCGACGAGGCCCACCCCCGCGCCCACATGAAGCTTGAAAAACGGCCTCTTGGAGCGCCGCGATGGATGACCCCCCATCAATGTCGACGACAACACTCTTGCGACTGGCGAATAAAATCACGCCTCGAGCTACTTCGATCGACAGAAGACCCCATCCGTTTGAGAGGGGAGGAAAAGAAAAAGAAAAAAGAAGAGAGAAGGAGAAAAAAAAATGAGAGAGAGAGAGAGAGAGAGAGAAAAAAAAAGAGAGAGAGAGAGAGAGAGAGAGAGAGAGAGAGAGAGCGAGAGAGAGAGAGAGAGGAAAAAGAAAGAAAGAAAGAAAGAGAGAGAGAGAGAGATGGAAACAGAGAGAGAGAGAGAGAGAGAGAGAGAGAGAGAGAGAGAGAAGAGAAAAAAAAAAAAAAAAAAAAAAAAAAAAAAAAAAAAAAAAAAAAAAAAAAAAAAAAAAGGAAGAAGGAAAGATATTTTTCAGAAAGAGAGAGAGAGAGAGAGAGAGAGAGAGAGATATGGAAACAGAGAGAGAGAGAGAGAGAGAGAAAAAAAAAAAAAAAAAAAAAAAAAAAAAAAAAAAAAAAAAAAAAAAAAAAACAAAAAAAAAAAAAAAAAAAAAAAAAAAAAAAAAAAAAAAAAAAAAAAAAAAAAAAAAAAAAAAAAAAAAAAAAAAAAAAAAAAACGCCGCCGCTGGTCAAGTTGCACCCCGGCAGCGCGCAACTACTAAGGGGGGGTTGCCGTCCTCTTCACCGTCTCCCCTCGCATACAATCACACTCAGTCGATTGAGACCACGAGCGCCCCCTGCCGTCTTGATCCATCGCTCGCCCCCCCCCCCACCCCCCACGCCTGCCCCCCAACGCAGCAGGGGCGCCAATTCCTAAAATGCAAATGAATTTTGTCATGCAATTCGGTTCCCTGTCCGCCCGGCCTCAAGTCGCGCGCGATTCTCTCGGCCCCCATCCTCGTCATCTTGACCGCCCTTCAAATACATGATGCCTGGAATTCGACCGGGGAACGCGGGCTCCACTGGACTCACCAGAACAGGTCCGCAACGAAAGCCCCCTGCCCAGGCAAACCCCCGAGACCCCCCCGACGAACCCCCCCCACACCTCCCCCGCCCCCCCTCGACTTGCGGCTCCTTTTCGGGGCCCAGCTGGCGAGATGGAAGTTACCGCTCTTCTCGTGAATCGTCGCCCTTTGCCGCGTTACCTCGCGCGCAAGGCCGCTGCGGGAGCGCCCATCGCTGTCTCGCCCCAACGAGATGCGACCCCCCGCTTCGACCCCCTCACGAACAGACCATGTTCCCCGATGACAGGCCCATTCGCTGCCCTGCGACGCTGACCGTTTTCGGAGGCCCCCGTGGACCTGACCGGGAAGTGAGCCCCTGCACATGGGAGTTCCAGCAGCGTCGCGGGTTCGCGAACCCGCGGCAACCACGATCGCCCCCACCCCACCTTCCCGGCCCCTCGCCGGCACCACATCGACTTCATCGTCGGAGCCCGCCAGCTCCACTAACTGCAGCTCGGCGCATTTATACGCCCAGCTTTTCCCCTGCCGGATGTTCTCCGAAATTCAGTTGCCCCAGATGGCGCCACGGTTGCACTCGGCGACGCGCTCATGCAGGGCACGCCTCGCCTTGGCCCCTAACCTGGCCCCCCGGCCCCTCCTCGTCGCGACCCGGCACTGCGCGCCCCATTACTGCGCCCCCACGGGTGGCCCGCAATGTTTTGGGCTCGCTAGCGCCCCCTCTCTTTCCGATCACCCCGCCCAACTCGACGCTGCAGCACCCCGGCCCTGGAAGAGGTTGCCCTGCCATCTGCGCGGGCTCTCCCGGGCTTCCTGCCCCCCGTGGACCTGGAGCAACCTCAGCGGCGCTCCTGGGGCAGCGGGCTGCACTGCCACCTTTCTCGCAGCACTTACAGCGCCCCCCCTCGCCATTCGGCGCAAATCCTGCCCTGCCCCCCCATGTCCAGCCTGGGGCGTGGCACCTCAGGGCCCTGACATCCCCCTCTGTGCCCCCCCGCCTGAATTTCTCGGTTGCCATCGAATCCTTGAGAGCATCCCCCCCCCGCCCCCCGCTCCATCAAGGGCCGCGTTAGCGGCGCAGTCCTTGGCCAAGTGCCCGCGCCTTCCACGCCTGCAGAAAATATGGACTTTGCCCTCAACCCCCCTCTTAAAAAATTCGATCGCGCGCCGTTCTGGACCACGCCCCCCAAAGTCCAGGCCCACCCGTTACCCATCTCATCGGTAAAACCTGCGTCGTCGCCATTGGCATCCCATTGTCCATTGCCGTCGTCGTTAAACTGGCCGACGTCCATAGCGACAACGTTCTTCGCGGCGGCGTCTAACCAATTCTCCCTTGCTCAATCCTCGCGCGTACCGAAGATATTTTGGCGCGCGTCGATGTTCAACGCGTCTGGGGTTTTGAAGCAATCTCGCTGCCAATCATCAAATCAACCACCATGATGGGCAGCGCTGGCTCTCAAGGCTGCACCCTTGAATGGCAGCGGCAACGACCCCATATTTTTCCAATGATTGCGCTAACGCACTCCACCGTTCAGGCTGCGCAGCTACCTCATTCATTTCCTCAAGCTTCCCGGGTTTCACGGCCAAGCGGACCCCGCGCGAAAGAACAGCCCCAGTCACCGCAGAGAGTCACCTGTAGATTCTTTGATAGGCCACCAAACCATCTCCTTCCTACAGGGCCCTTCAGCTTCCCCCGAGGCTCTGTTGCGTTTAGCTTGTCGTTCAGGAAATACCCAAAAGTCCCCGTCTAGCTGGGAACGGTCTTCTTCACCCAACTCATGTCCCCCTTGTGGTCGTCTTCCCTGCCTTCGATGCCAGACGCTTTGGTGAACTCGCCCTGCGCTACCCTTTCGCTGCTGATAATTATCAGATCGTCTTCTTCGTCGTCAGCAGTGCCCCACCCAGGGTTTCGAGCATGTTCTTCAACTGTCCGAAGGTTGTCTGCTAACCGTGGTTCGCTTGGGCGAGCGCATTCAACAGCTTCTCGCTCCAAATTTGGTCCTGTCACCTGAGAACGTCTGTACCTGTTGAGCACATTTTGCGTTCACCACGGGTTTGTTTCCACCTCCGCCAGTCCGGCCGTCTCCTGCGGACTGCATTGCCTCAGCGGCATCGGTAATATGCTTCGAGGTGTTCGCTTGATGTTGGAACTCTGTCCTCACATACTCTTTCCAAGTTATTATACTTTTCCTCGCCGTACATGCTTCGGTTGGTGATTGAGATCCGGAATACCTTCATGCTCTAGATCTTCTGCAACATCGTGAATGTTTCGTCGTTGTCCAGTCCTGGTGCCCTGTATGGCACAGCCTTTGAAGAATAATTTCGTGCCTTTGTGATTGGTTTCCGCCGCCGTGTTCACGTACCTGAAGTCCCCGTTCTCGTTCGCTGCGTGGCACAGCTCCGCGAAACAGTTCGTGCCCAGGTTGTACCAGGCTTCGCGTACTTAGGTAACGACACATCACAACCTGGATCGTTGGTTGCCACCGCGCGTCTCCGTAGGCCCGCAATCCCGAAGTTCACAGTGGTCAGTCAGACGGATGGAGGGCCGATGCTTTTCAAATTTTGGTCTCGACTTAGCACCGCGCGCAGTCGTCGTGAAAACTCGCGACCGTTAGACGAGTGGCAGCCAGCACATTTTCAGAATGGAACTCTCGCCTCAGGCTCAACATACTCCCACGAGCGCCACATTGTGCAACAGATACACGGATGGAGGGCGGTTCCCGTTTCAAAGTGAGGATCTCGCCTGAGACTTCGCTTGACGCGATGACCAGACACTCTGCTGCGCAACAGCCACAGGAGTCCAGGACGTCTACTTCAAAGCGGGGCTGCCTCTGCGCATTTCCTTGAACTCTAAAGCCCAATCTTGCCGCACTCCTTACAGCTCGAAGGAGGAAGGGCGAGCTCCTTCAAAACAAGGCTCCCACCTGGATGGCGGGCGCACGGCGCGCTCGTCTCTCTAGGGGGGAGGCGCCAGGGAAAAAAGAGCGCTGGTGGGGACTAATGAGGAGAGCACTTGGGACGGGAGGGTGCATTGCAGCATCGTTGATGCATCTGGGGTTACTCTGGTCCTCTTCTTGGCCCAGCGGCTCCTCCATCCGCCCGCCGGCCCCCCCGCCGGGCAGACCGCCCGCCCTGCCCCCACAAGGTGTCCTCCAGCGAGCTCGGACCACGCTTTCAGGGCGTGTCGGGCCGCGGCGTCGAGAGCCCCTTCCCCCCCCCAGGAGGGCCGAAAACCCCCCTGCTTCGCCTGCTTCCCTCCTCCTCCAAGCTCCGGAGGAGAAAGAGGAGGACCTCTAGAGGACTCTGAATGCCCACCCCCACAACAAGAGAACACCAACAAAAACGATTCCACAACTCCTCTGACTGCTCCCTTCTCCCCTACTCCCGCACCTCCCCGCTCCCTCACCTCCCCCACCTCCTTCCCCTCCTCCCCCTCCATGGGGTCGGCCCGCTACCCGCCACAGCCAGGCGGCCACCAGCACACGCAGCGTCGCCTGGACGGACTTGTTGCTGCAGGTCGGGGTCCCGCTCTCGATGCCCTCCGCCGGGGGGCGGCCAGACGCCGCGACGACGTCGCCGACGACGGCGGCAATAGCGACGGCAAAAGCGACGACGGCGACGCCGCCGCCGCAGACGACGACGACGACGACAGCCAAGGCGAGGGCCAAAACAGCAACGGCCGCGGCGACTGTGGCTACCTCGAGCGCGGTCTCGCGATCTTCACCAGCCCGAACGAGCGTCGAACCTGCCAGGGTGGCCTCACGGCGCTGGGCACGAGGCAGCCAGCCCGAGGACTGTTCCACGGGGACCACGTGTGCGGAAGCACGCCGCAGCTCCTGAGGTGCCCCGTGGTTCCCACATTCCGGTGGTGAGGTTCTTTCCCTTCAAGGTCGCGTGCCAAAGAAGGTCAAGAATGGCCGCGGCTGCAGCGGTCCTGCGTCGCTGGGTGGTGACGTCGTTGCCCAGTCCAACGACGCGGATGGCTCCTTGCGCCAGGGAGTCAAGGAGCTCGCCGCCTCCTTTCAGGCAGCGCGCAGGACGACAGCGCTCACTGGGAGCACCCAGTCGGGGTTCTCGACAGGACACGCGCCGCTCGTTTGAAACAGGCGGCGGTGCTGCTGTAGAGCCATGTGGAGACAGGCCACGTACGAAGGGTCGTCCACCTAGTCGAGCACGCCTGGTGCGAACCAGCGACGCCACGACAGGGCGCCCTGGAACAGGTCGTCCCATCCAGGCAGCCAGCGGAAGACCGCGGAAAGAGGGGACGGATGGAAGGGGAGGGAGAGGGATGGAGCACAAGAGAAATTAGCAGGAGGGGGGGGGGGGCAGAAGTAAAAAACACGTGGTAGAACCAGACGGGCAGATCGGGCGGGCTGACCCTAGTGGGCGGGTCGGGAAGGCGGGCCCAGGCGGCCAGGTCGAGCAGGCGAAATGCTGAAGCGTGAGCCCTGCATGAATCGCGAGGAAGTCCCAAGCGATAGCGCGACTCCCAGGTAAATCCAGAGAAAGGCTAAAGCGAAAGCGTGAGACTGAGTGTCGAGGGCGCGGCGTCTCAATAAATTGTCAGGAACTCCCACGCGAGAGCGCGTTTCCTGCATAAAGTATGAGGAAGTCCCGCGCGAGAGCGCAAGTTTGAATACCTTGTGAAGAAATATCAGGCGGGAGCCGATGTTGTTGTAGTTTGGGGCCCAACAACCCAGCTTGACCAAGAAGACATTCCCTGATAGAAAACAGGGTGCGAGCCCCGAGGGGAGCACTCCAAATCAAAAACAAATCTAGACTGGTAAGGGGGAGTCAACCATATTTTTTCATAAATAAAAACTCAAGAAAAGAACGCCCCAGCTGACCACGAAACTACACCCCCTTCGGCGGCAATTCATGGGAACCCCCTGTGCCGTGTTGCTTGCTTTTGCGAATCGACGCCAGCCGACGCTAGTCGACGTTGAATCCCAGATTTCTCATCGGTGACCAGACGTCAGCACACGCCAACGCACCCAAAAGACGGAACTGCGGGGACATGCGAGGCCCCCGTGCTCTGCCATCGAAGCACCCCCCCGTGTCGGTCCCTGGGGGCCTCGCCCACCGCGGCGAGCCCCGAGCGCCCCCGCCGACGCTCGGGATCAGCCCGTCGTCGTCGTCGTCGTCGTCGTCGGCGTCGTCGTCGGCGTCGTCGTCGGCGTCCCCATTCAAAATCGTCCTAGTCATCGTCGTCGTCGTCGTCGGCGTCGTCGTCGCCACCATTCAAGATCTTCGCCATCGTCTCCCTGCAGGGCCTGCGGCACTGGCCAAAAGGCATTCGCAATACACCCCCCGTCTTCGCCCCGCGGAGCCTGGCTCGCCGCGGCGGCCGCCGAGCCGTCGCCGACGTTCGGGACCAGCCCGACCATCGCCATCCTGGCCTCAGCGGCCCCCGTCGCGGCGCCATCGGCCATCGCACTCGGCGGTGGCTGGGAGCTGGGGCGGGAGGGAGGAAAGGCAGGGGGGGGGAGGACGGGACGCACAGCCTGGCACAGCAGAGGAAGTTGAGGCGCGCGATGGGCAAGGAGGACCTTCCCCGGGGTGGGACGAGCAAAAGAGGACCTTCCCAAGGGAGGGAGGAGGGGGAAGGGGGGGGAGGACGACGGTCTGCATGCGTGCGCGGGGCGCAAAGCATCTGAGAGATGCCCGCAAACGTGGGCATTCCCACCCGTGAGCTGGAACACCAGATGGCCAGGCGACGGTGAACGCGAGCGAACGGCACTTGCGCATTGTTTCACACGTCTGCAAGAGCCTTCGGTGGCTTTACGCATTGCACGGGAGAAAACAAGGACCGGGGGGGGGGGGGCGGGACGCACAGCCTGGCGCAGCAGCAGTGAACGGAGCGCGGGATGAGCAAGAAGGGCCTTCCCCAAGAGGGAGGGGCAGGCCAGCTGAGTACGGTATAAACCACGCGCTGGCTGGTGGATGAGCTGGGGGGAGGCCATTCGAAGTCTGTGAATCCCACGGGACGACATACGGGACCAAACCGATTTGGTTCCAGCACTTTGAGAAGCTGCCTCTCACCCGTCCACACAGTTCTCTGCTCCGTCATGCTGGTCGCACGATTTGGAACGCAGACAGCCAAATCAGAGCGACGGAGGGAAATACGCATATTGCGATTCACCTCCAAAAGCTGCGGGCCCAGCTTACACAGCCCAGAACACGAGCCAGGGCGAGGGGGGCGCCGCCCTCTACGAACAACCCAAGAGCTTTCGGGAGGCCAGAAAGCCCGAGGACCAAGTAGCGCAGACGCTGCACTTCCAGAGCTTGCCGATCTGAGTCCAGTGCTGCGCGATGGAAGGCGCGGCCGCAGCATTCGCAAGGCCCGCGCCACGCTCGTGAACTGCCTCTGGCCGCAGACGGAGCGGCGGGCATTCTGGGAGGAGCGCATCAGCCAAAAAACCCAACTGCTTTGCCAAAGAGGAGCAACTCTTCTAGATCGGCCTGGGGGTGACTTCCGGCAGCCAGCTTAGCACAGGCATCCACAACGTTGAGTCATAGATTGGTTACGGTTGTCGACCGCGTCTTCAACGGTTTCGCGGGCCTTCACACTGGTTGAACTGAGAGAAAGCAAATGAAAACGAACAGGCTGGGCACATCCAGCATGCGAGCGTTCATGGCTAGTCTGCTTGGGCATGGAGGCATAATCTGCCACATGCAGGCAGTCAGAATGAAAGGTGGAAACAGACGCTCGAAGCCTGCCCGCAGCACAAGAGCGTGATACTCAGCACTGGCAGTGAGGGCGACGGCCCGTCCAGCGCGAGAAATATCAACAACAACAACAACAACAACACGACGAAGGCCGGACCCATCTACGGAAACCTCTCCAGCAGTCCAGCGAAACATCTTCAGCAAGAGGTCGCATCCTTCACAGATCTCTGCGAACGCCCCCTCCTGGAACAACGGCTGGTGACTAGGGAGGACTTCTCCCTCCTCATCCTCCCCATCCCCCATTATGTCCTCCTTCTCCCCTTCCGCCCCGCTCGTCGTCCTCCTGTCCCCCCTCCTCCATTGGCCCTCATCCTCCTCCCACCCTCAGGGGGAGGAGGGGGGACGGAGGGGTGGATGATGGAGGAGCAGGAAAAGCACTGAGGGACGAGGAGGAGCAGAGGACAGTAACAGCAGAGGGGGGAGAAGCACGAGAGGGAGGAAGAGGTGGAGGAGGAGGCCGGGGAGGCGAGGCGGCGCCCCCGACGCGGGAGTGCCAGGGGACCGTGAGCCAAGTGGCTGCGCGGACGGTCGTCGTCGCCGCCCTCGCCGCCGTTGTCGTCGGCGTTCGGAGATGCGCCGGCACGCAGCAGCGCTGCCCAGGGCCAGCCAGGGCCACGTCGCGAACGTAGGCCAGCCACAGGGCAACGCCCGAAGCCGGGTCGGCAGAGGGAAGGAAGGCTTGTCGGCTCCGCGCGGCGACCACACTTGGGGGCGATCGGCTGACCCCAGGTCAGGGTCAGGTCGGGCATGTCTCCCTACAGGCGAATTTTGGACGAACAATGAAAAAATACCCAAAACAGGCCAAAAAATGTGTGTATATATATATATATAAATAATATATATATATATCTTTCTCTCTCTCTCTCTCTGACTATTCTTGCGCATTCCCACTGTAGAGGGACAATGCACGACTTGAAGTTGGGGCTCACCCCAGTCTGCCCGCGCCCCGAGTCGTCCCCGTGGCCGCCTGCCCCCGGCTTCCCCTCCCCCTCTCGTGGAGCCGCCGCGCCTGCTCCCTGGGAGGCGGTGGACGAGGGAGGCGGGCGAAAAATCAAAGGTGAGATTAGACAGCGGGGAGCGGAAGATGGGCAGGAGGGGAGGGAGGAGGGGGAGGAGGGGGAAGAGGGAGAGGGGGAGGAGGGGGAGGGGGAGGAGGGGGAGGAGGAGGGGAAGGAGGAGGAGGAGGAGGAGGAGGAGGAGGAGGAGTTCGACAACTGGAATCAAAGATCCGCGAAGGACCAAGGCGTTCCGCCATCGCCCTTCCATTCCCCACAAGCTTTCAAAACTACCCAGAGGATGCCCAACAAGCAACCACGAGACCATCAAAACAGCCCATCTGGCCACCAACACAGCCCTGGATGCGCCCAGCAAGCGCCCAGGAGGATCAAGGGCGTTATTCAAACGGCCAAGGACCCTCCCCCGAAAGCCCCCCAGAGCAGGAAGGCCTCCTGAAAGCTCCAAAAACGACTCAAAAGGCTCCCAAGGCTGCTCAAAAGCTCACCGCTGGCTTCTACGACCGACGGCGCTTGCGTTTCGAACCATTGTGAAACACAATGTTGTTGGCCACTCTTGGCTCCCAAGAGAGGTTCCAATACGAGTGAGCTTTTCCGCCATCGCTTTCCCCTTGCGCCTAGGAATCCCGCGAGACGGCCCGAAAGACCCCCGGAGCGCCTCCAAGGGGCCTTCAAGACGAGAGCCCAAGACGCCACCTAGACAACCCAAGAGGCGCCCAAGGCGCGCCCAAGAGAGTCTAGGGCGCTCCCAAGACGGCACAGGACGCTCTCGAGAGGTCGCCGCAACTGCCTGAAGGGCCTTTCATGAGGCTCTCAAGACAGCCCAAGAGGCTGTCAAGACGTCTCAAAACCGCCCACCGCACAGGCGCCCGAACTGGAGTTAACGGCCAGGCAGCACCCACACATCTGAAATTCAGACAGGGGCAATATGAACTTCATAAAAGCGTGATCTGAATTTCAGAAAGGGCCGATCTGAATCATGTGGGAGTCTCAAACAATATATATATATATATATATATATATATATATTAAATAAACATATACATACATATATATGTGTGCATGCATAAAAAACGAATGAAAATACCAAGCAAACAAAAACAGCAAACAAACAGAAAAAGAAAAAAAAAAATATTGGAAAGGAGAGGAAAAAAGAGGATTACACATATAATATATGAATATATATATAAATATATATATATATATCTTAATAATAATAAGAAGAATAAGAATAAGAATAAGAATAATAATATTAATAATAATAAATTTATCAAAAAAACAAAAAAACAAAAAAAAACAAAAAAAAAAAAAAAAAAAAAAAAAAAAAAAAAAAAAAAAAAAAAAAAAAAAAAAAAAAAAAAAAAAAAAAAAAAAAAAAAAAAAAAAAAACGCAGGCCCCTGTAACCTGTAACGCCGCGAGAGTTTTCCCAGACGGCCCTGGACAGACCAGACCCCACGGGGCCGTCCTTCCACGACCCAGCGGGTATCCCTTCGGCTCCTCGAGAAGCCTCCGGAATGCCCCAAGACTGCGCCAAGCCCCCCGCGGGCAGCAGTCTCCCAAGGGACCACACGCCCCCCCCCCCCGCCCCACCCCGGAGCGCCCTCCTCCCGCAGCCAAAACGGGCCCCCGCCCCGTGCTCCAAAAACCCTGCGCGCGGGAGGGCCCCGCACGTGCGCTGGCCGGGGGCGGCAGCCCGTAGAATCCCACCCCACCACCACGGGGGGATCTGAGGTGCCTGAAGGCGAGACTGAAGGGGCCCTGGGACACACAAATAAATACACACAAATAACAGGATTCCCCATATTTTCCCATATTTTCCGGGTTTTTGTCTTCCCCCCCACTTCCCATATTTCCCCATATTTTCTGGGTAACCGACGATTAATTGTGTCTGTGTGTTTTTTCCCCTCCTGAGAGACGGGGTGGGCACGAGTGGGCACATCATCAAGGGAACAGAAAGTGGCACAAACATATAAAAACTCGGAGGTCAGCGCGGAGTTCTCGGATCGGCGCTGGGGCCCCCGGGCGGCGCCTCCGGCGCCGCCCCTGGCGCGCTCCGCGCGCCAGGGAGGGGGGTCCAGCGCCGATCCGAGAAATCCGCGCGGACCTCCGAGTTTTGTATGTTTATGTCACTTCTTGTTCCCCTAATCGTAGCCGGCTCAAAATCAAGAAGGCATCGTAGCCTTCTCGTTCATCTCATCAGCGACTTCGTTCCATGCGCAGCATGCTCTCCCCCCCAGTTGCCTCCAGAAACTCCCGCCGACATCCGCGGCGAGGGCCCCCGGTGCCTTCCCATGCACCGCTGCCCGGGCAGCACAACCCAAACCCCCGCAGGCCCCCGGAAGGACCCGAAGCGCTGACGTTCCCGCACCACGGAGCCCAAGAGAACCACGTGCGCCAGCAGGATCACCTGGGACGCACGAGGACGTACTAGTACTACACGTCCTCCTTAGAGGCGCGCGTCCGACCCGAATGTATAGTATGCCCATCTTGCAATATGTCGTTTCCCAAGCGGTGGGGCCAGGAAGAGCCCGCCACGCCGCAGATACTATGAGACTTCTCGGTGCGCGCGTCGCCCCTGGGGGGGGGCGACGCACACGTAGCATCTTTATGTTGGGGTGACGCCCATCACGGGGGCCCGCGACGTCGCGGGCAGGGGGGTCCAGCGGCACCAGCCTGCGGCCTTCGCATCCGAAAGCGGGACCCGAGGCCGGAACTCAAGAGCCCCTGGGGCATGTCGCGAGGCCCCAGCGGGCCGCCCCGAGGGGGGTCCGAAGGGCGCCCCCGCGGCAGTCCAGGGATCCCCGAGACGGCCCTGCGAGATACCGACATGCCCTCACTGCCGTGCGAAAGGGGCCCCGAAAGACTGCCAACGCGGCCCGCGATGCCGTCGACGCGTCAGGGGGGGTCCGAGAAGTCACCACGGGAGCTCATCAAAGAGGCCATCCACTCCAGATCGGAACACGCGACACCGACGAGATCGGATTCGACTGCGCGCGCCCCCCAAGAAAGGCAGCGCACCAGCCAGGATGATTGAGCGCAAGACCCAGCACAAAGTAAACGATAGACACTGGCGAAGGGATGGGCTGGCTGGAGCGCGCAAAGCGATTATAGAATGGCGTCGAAAGCGCTAGCGCGGTGAACAACGGGAAACGCGCAGTGGCCCCAGACTCGGGCAGGAAAGCAGAGTGGGCGATCGCGCGCTGTGTAAATGCGCCCCTGCCGAGGGGCTGCGACAATGCCGCCAATCACGACGCGCCCTTGCGAGCGACGCCCCTTTCGACTCCAGCCCGCAAAGCAATCCGAACATGAGGCTACGTGGACACACGGAACACATGACGCCCACATTCGACGCACAGACCGTGTGCGCCGTTGTCCCGCGCGCGCGCTCGTGAACCCATCAAGTGCCACAGTGGCTCTACACATTTACAGAAACAGCCAAGAGGCCAGAATTCATCTGGTCGGGGATGGACAGACCCCCCTTTAGTAAAACGTGGTTTAGTGAAAACGACCTGAGGCCCAAACCTGGCGGGCGCAAGCCTGGAAAATAACGGCCGCGGCGCCATCTCGAGAACCGAAAACGGACAATTCACTAATCGACGTGTCACTGTTGGGGGTTCTGTCCACCCCCGATCTGAGCAATCCAATATTGGGGGTGTCTTCGTCCAGAATTGGCAGCAGGTGTCGACGAAGCTGTCGACCCATCCCTCTGCAGGGCGCCGCACCGGTCCCTCGCACTCTGGGCCCTGCCTGACCTCTTCGAAATGCTCTCTGAGGTTTCCAAGGCAGCGAGAGGTTTCCGGAATTCTGGATGCGGGGGCGGAAGGTGAAATGATGCAAGGGGGATCCTCCTTCATCCCTCACCCCTTCTCGATCCTCCATCCTCCATCCTCCTTCCCTCCTCCTCCTCCTCCTCTCCATGGCAAGCCGCGCCCACCCCGAGATCTCTGCCAGACCCACGCCAAGACCCGAGGCCTTGGCTTGAGCTGATTTCCGACCCATTTGAATGAAAGCGCGCCTTGTCAGCACTTGATCCGGGCTTCTCGCGAATGCATGCCTGCCCGGAGCTCTTTGACGCCACCGTCTCGGCTCCTCTGGCCAGTGCCCCATTCGTGTGCATGCAGTGCCCTCTGGAGCGGCGTCGTTGCTGCACCAGTAACCGAGGCCTCCGTCGTCATATGATTCGTGCGGTAACAACGCACGATGTTTTGTTCAAGAATCTTCTTGCCCAATCGGCAAGAAGGTATTCTCAAGCGTCCTGCTGCAATCGATTATCTGACGTACAGGGCCAAACGCTCCTCGCTGAGAGTACAATGCTCGTCCTGATCTGACTGATCGCGACAAGGCTCGTGAGATAGGCTGGACTGCTTGCAAGGGTCACGCCTAGCCCAGTACAGCTCTCGCTGGTGCGCGATCTTGTCTTGACGCCTTTTGAATCGTCACAGCTCATGCTCTAACGTCTGCAACCAATCAATCATCATCAGCATCATCAGCAGCAGCATCATGACCATCATCAGCATCATCATCATCATCACCATCATCACCACAACCAAAAACATCATCATCATCAGCATCATCATCTTCATCATCATCATCAACATCATCAACATCATCATCACCACCACCATCATCATCATTATCATCGTCATCATCAACATCATTATCAGAATCATCATCATCATC